TTTGCAACTTATATAGTTTTGATGATTCCAAACATTATTGTTCAAATGTGTAGTTATCTCCTAACAATTTTAGAAGATTTGTATTTGCTCTTGTGTGTACCAATATTTCAGGAAAATTGAACTCCAGACTATGATGACTTCAACTCAAATTCAACATGAGATACTTGTGAATTTGAAGCTTGTACTTTCTTTAAATAAAATTGAAAGGGAGTGATTGTAATTTGAGTGAATAAAAACATACACACACACATAAGGAGATCATATAAAATTTATACTGATCGTACGGGATGATATCCGTTCGTACTGGACGATCAGACAGTTATCTCCTATTGAGCACATGGAACGAATAGGAACTGGCTTGAAAATTTTTTCTAAGTCCTAATCGTCCAGGACACAATTAAATATCATCCAGGATGATTTATACTCTGTAAAATTTTTCCAGACGAAAATAAATTATCGTACATGACGATTGGTCCTCTTAAAAAATTTCGTCCAAACAAATAAAAATACGTCCAGGACGATCTGGTCTCTGTAAAATTTTTGTCCAAATGAAATTAAATTATCGTACATGACGATTGGTCCTCTGTAAAATTTTCGTCCTGATGAAATTAAAAATCATCCAGGCCGATCGGTCCTCTGTAAAAATTTCGTCCAGACGAACAGATTTTCGTCTAGAAGATTAACCGACCTGGAACGGTTTTCATCAGTTTCTAGAACCGACCTTGTAATAACCGTTTTTTATCGGACGAACTTAGTTCGTACGGGACGATCAGTGTGTACGAAGACATTTCGTACACATATACAAATAGAGTCGTTTCAAAGCATTAAGTAAAATCCTCTAGGAGATCCATGATCGTACGGGACGATCCACTGCCTACAGAATTGAAAACTTGCAGTTTTTGTCGTTTTTCTTTTTTTCTATAAATAGTCTAAATTAGGCTGCCACCCAATCTTTTTGCCATTTGATCTTCGTGACTTTTGAGAGAATAGCCAAATAGAGAGTGTAAGAGTGCATTCAAAGGAGGATTCCTACACTGGAGCAGTGTGAAGGCTTCACTTGGAGTTCAAAGGTAAGATTCTCTACTTGTGAATTGGGATTACTTCACTCTTTTCTTTCTTCCTTCTAGATTCTTGTGAGAAGATCTGTCAAGGAGATCCGGTTCGCTGCCGACACTTGGAAAGTGTGAACAGCCAAAGGGTTCGCTGCCTACACTTGGAGAGTGTGAACAGCCGAAGGGTTCTCTGCCCACACTAGGAGAGTGTGAAAGGATGGATGGTTCTCTACCAACAGTGGGAATTATGTAAAAGGACGACGGTTCTCTATCGTACCGAGTAGTAGTGAAAAGAGTGTTTTGTAATGGCTTCTCCGCCTTGCTGTGGGTGCAAAAGGAGAGTCACTATTTGTATTAGTGCAATACTCAGAGGGTGCCTCTGGGGAGTGGATGTAGGTCTAGTTTAGACCGAACCACTATAAATCTGGTGTCATTTACCTTACTGTTTTTATTTTTCCGCATTTTATTTTTAGCTTTAAAAACTCTGTGATGTAAAAACGCTTTCTACAAAAACTTAAAAGAAAATTTTCATTTCGGTTCAACTCATTTTAAAAGAAGGATTTAAATTTTTAAACTACCAATTCATCCCCCCTCTTGGTATCCTTTGGACATTAACTTAGGTCTAACAACCTATTTATTAAACTCAACATTAAGGACCTTGCACTTTAAATTTAATCAATGCATAGGCTCATTCGTATATTTCCCCTAAAAAAAGTGATTAAACTAATTATATTGTATGAACAATATTTTAAAGGATGATCAGTTCAAATTGTAAAAAATAGCTGCAACCACAATTTAAGTATTATTTTAATTTTCAAATTTTGCTTGAATCGTACAGGATGATATACATCATCTTGGACAATTTATGATAATCATGCCTAAATAGATTTAGTGATTAGGGGAATAATTATGGTTGCATTGCTTGTTCATATCATATAGGATGATCTACTTAGATCATATTAGACAATCTATTATATTTCATAGGATGATCCCCTACCATCCAAGATGAAAACCATTCTTTTCTTTTAATCATCAAGCATATCACACAAGACATCTTGAGAGGGTTTTAGGATGATTTCTAGAAAACCACCCATCATCCCATATTGTACTAGATGATCAATATAGTATCTTGAACTAATCATCCTAGATGATCAAAGAATCATATTGGACAATCTATAAAAAATAGTTGAATTAATCTTACACGACAAAAATGATCATATTTGCTAAAAGGGATATTTTGAACTAATTGTAGGATGATCTATCGATCATAATGGATGATTTTTTTTTTTTTTTACTCTAGATCTTAGGACTATTTTTTCTTTTTTTGCTTGTAGCTTTTTTGAACAATAGAGAGCTTGAGGTCCCCTTAGGGACCATGTAACCTTTTAATTTACTTTTCTGTATTTAATTCCATATTATTTTGTGATTTGTTATTTGGTTAAAATATATATTTTTTGTTATTGTGAAATTATTGTTGCTTCCAAATAAATCATTTTTTTAAAATATTGAAAAAGTTTTCAAAATGATTTTCTTTTTTTGTTAAGAAATTTTTAATTAACCAATTCACCCCCCTCCCCCACCCTCTTTACGTTTAATATACTATATAAGTTTGCTAGGAATGTGACTCTAACCCCATTATTATAAAATGATATAACTAGGATGGAAGTTAAGTCGACTGCTGCTATGAATACAAATAAGAAAATAATATTTGTATACCTTCCACTAGCAAAAGCGTAGAAACTGATATAAACATGGATGAACTTTTTATGATTGAAATAATAGAGCTACTTTTTAATTGCTATTCTAACTGCAAAAAAATATTTGCTAAGAAATATCTAACATGATTAACAGGGACTAGAGGTGAAGCCTAAAAGTTTGAAAACTTATGGAGCACTAAATATTTAAAAAATATATCAAAAGTAGGTGTTGGCTTCAAAATTCTTCATTCATTTGAAGATGATGTGTATTTCTTAGTAATAATGAAAACCTAGAGTTTGATAGTATATTTATAATTGATCTAAAATCTTTTAACTTATTTTTCTTAGTAGCTTTAAATGATCTAGATGATTCTCAAGTTAGGAAAGCACCTCTTTAACACGAATAGAAGGTCGATTTTAGACTTGAAGAGGATATTAAATCAAGGATTAATGGTCGAAAAGAAATAAATTTAGTTACTGAATATGACCCTCATATGATCTTTACAAGTTCTTTATAAAATAAGGATGAGGACTTATAAATGATCATGTTGATCTTGAATCTTAAAGATAGCTTTTCCTAGAGTTATGATGAAAGCCCATATTATCTCCAAATTTTATAGTTCATAAATTAGATAATCAGCCAAAAATGATTTATATACATTATGCATCATAAAGAATGTCACTCAAAAAGGAATAATAAGTAATTACTAAAGCCAAATGCTTATAGAGGCTGGTTTCATCAGGGAGAAAAAATATCCAACTTGGTTAGCAAGTATTACCCTAATAAAGAAAAAGGGGAGTCAAATATGTATGGGTATTAACTTTAGATATTTAAATAAAGCCATTTCAAAAGATTAATTTCTATTTCCTATACAAAAATTGTTAAAATATATGTCATATTCACAGGTAATATTTTCATTTATAATCGATCATCTAGCTAAAGTTAGATTAAAATGGATCCAAAAGAATAAAAGTTTATAGCAATTAGAATAACAAAATGAGTGTATTTTTATAATCTAATTCCTTCAAACCCCAAAAATATTAATTCAATATGCAAAATGGTAATGATAAAGTATTTAGATAAACTTATTCACCATCATGTGAAGTTTTATGTTGATGATTTATTCGTTAAACTTTTTGAAAGGTAAGAAACTACTTAAATGATCTAAAAGTTTTTTTTTTTAATATTAAGCCAATTATTTACCTTATTTTTCGATGATTTCTATGATCTAAATAAAAATTTAAAATCCATACAAAAATCATGAACCATACTTCAAACTCTAAATAAAACTTTTTATTGTGCATTAAAATAGCGCCTTGATCAATTACATACATAAATCATCACTTAACAATCACCCTTAACAACCATGTGATCATATGATCTATCACCTAACAATCACTAAATGATAGTAAGTTATATGATCATTATAAAATGAAATATTTTTCAATCATTAATCTTTATTAATCAATTCAAAACCTAAATATAAATCAAGCATTAAATTCATCAGGTTATATTCTAGAGTGATAATAGTTGATGGCATATTTAATCATTCACATTAATTATTAATTGTAATTGATCTGAGAATTACAAACCTTAAATACTTCTAAAATATTGATTAAATCAAATATTATTCAAACTCATTGATCAAAATATGATTTCTGATCAATATAGGCTTGATGAATGAATGCTAGAACAACCAAGAATATTGAAGTAGGATGTTTGCATACTTAGACATATGATGTAAAATATTCTAAGTTATTAAGGGGATACTAAAATTATAGGAGGTCAGCAGATATCCTTTTAATCCTTATAAGCTCGACAAAGATCTATGGATATATATACTCTAAATTACATCTATAATTAAGATTTTTTTATTAGGAAAGACATACAATTTATATTCTTCAATCCAAAACACTTTAATTAAACGTTGTATCCAATATTTTTATGATTCTTTTCAGTGATAGAATCTCCACAATTATAATTTTTATTTTAGTAGGATAATTATTACAATTAGATTAAGTACTTATAGTTTGTTTCAAGTAAGCATACTTTCTCGTGGGTTCAACACTCTATTCTATCAATTTTAGAGCCCTAAATTTTTATGTAATTCAAAAGTTCACTCCACAAACCCCCATCATTGTACAATGTCATCTAAATATATTTTACTTTTATAATGACTTGAATATATACACATCATTCCTAGGTATATTCTACTTCGACACTTGCATTAATTTAAAGTAATTGCTACAGGAAAATCACCTATTACAGGAGGAAATTGATCATTTTCTAGCAGATTTAGAATTGCAGAAAGCTGCTGGAAATTTGAACATTGGAAATTTGATCGCTGGAAAGCAACTGAAATATTCCACTGGTGATAAGTTATTGTCTTATAATGCAGTATAAAAGTATATAAAAGCATATTAAAGTGCAAAGTAGATGTGTAATAACATAATGCTTCTAATGCAGTCCTTCAAGAGCCTAAGTGCACTAATAGAAAATTAAAATAAATTACATCCATATTGTTGAAAATAAATAAACACACATAAGGTACTCTTAAAGTAAAGCACCTGGCAAGAAAATCAAACCACTCGCCTAGCTTAGGCTAGTGATGGTTGTTCTTACAAACCATCTAAGTGTGGATAGAAAGGCTTTGTAGCTTGGATATTCCTTGGCTTTATTGGTTTAATGTTATCTATAAATGAATTTACATGTTCAAAGTCTTTAAAGAGTTAAATTTAAGTTTTAATGTTTTAGAGGTTTTAAATTTCTTTCAAAGATATTTTTATTATTGAAGTTATTTACCTTTAGGTTTTAAAGAACATACATTCAATAACTTCTAAGTGATCAAAGTTGTTATTCAGTATTTTCTAGACACAAGAAATATAATGCTACCAACCCTCCAAGACTAGAGGACATTTTTTGAATAGAATTTTTAATTTTAATTATATACTCTAAGCCTTAAACCTTCTCAAGTCAATACACTTTTGCCCTCTATAAAGGAAGCTATAATGTATAAATATTTTATAAGTTATTTTAAAATTGATTTAATTTGATTGGTTGCTAATTTATTAAACTTATTAATTTTAATTTTTACATTCTATCAAATCCATTTGTGTCCTTGTCAGAACGGACACGAGGACATTGGCCTCCTAAGGACACGTAGCCTCGTAACCTGAGGTAGTCCAGCTTAAAAACATCAGTGGTAGGAATGTTAGTTTTTTATTTAATATCACTTGTTAATGTAATTTTGTTGAATTAGTGATTTACTTAAGCATTTTTTATTTATTGATTATATATATTATTGAATATTTTATTGAATTAAACATAAGGTCCATTTCTTGACTTTTTTATTTAAATTAGTATCTAATTTTTTTTTATTTTTCATAAATATAAAACCATGAGAAGTGTCCAATGCTTTTGAGTTTCTTGGATTTAGATTTATTTAGAATTAGCTATAAATATTTGAAGTTTAATGCATTTTATGAATTAAGTTTGACCCAAATGTTGACTTTTTAATTTACAATGAATTTTGGATTTTCATATTTTTATAAATATTATATTTAATTAAAAGTTCAATGCCTTTTAGTTTACTTGATTTAGATTCTTTTTAGAATTAATTAAAATGTTTTAAGTTTGATGAATTTTATATATATTTAGTTATTTAAATAGAAGCGTTTTTTTTTTCTCTAAATCAATTCCAAACCTCTTAAGATCTTCCCCCAATATAAAAAATGACTTTTACATATTATTTCAAGTATATAAAGTAATTAGAGTAACTTTTATATATTTTTAAATATCTGATTTTAAATTTATTAATGAATTTAAATTTTTTAGATTAATTTTTAGCTAGAATGAAACTTTTGAGGATTTTATTTCTATTTTATTAAGATTTTATTTTTAAGAAATTTGATATATTATAATTTAATTTTTAAATTAATTGTAATTTATTAAGAACTTTTAAAGATCCTGAGATAATTATGCACATGAAACTTGTGTTTACTGAATAAGAACAAATGACCTTCAAATATAATGAAATTTGAAACAAATGTACATGCATATATGTGCTTCAAACCCTCTGAATTTTGGCTCATCAAAGCCTCCATAGTGTAAGATATCAATCATCAAATCTAACTGCATCTATAAGTTAGGTGATTTGTTTTAGGATCTAAACTCAAGGGACTTGGATAAAATGAGTGGCTAACAATCCCTTTAATATAACATTGCATTCAAACAAAATATCAATCCCTAATTTCATATGGATTATTGTTTATGAATTTTAAAATATATAGGTTAAATAATGACCTATGAGTTTAGAAAATTCATTTGTACTCAAATATTTCAAATTAAATTTAAAATTAACTAAATCAAATCAAAGAAGAGAAGAGATGCTTATGTGTTGATCATCAATTAATCAGCATTATTTAGGTTATAATGCCCTATCAAGATATAGCTTGAATGTAAAGCATGAAAAATTAGGTGAAGAGGACTTTTTTCTGACCTTAAATTAATTATTTAAACACAATCAACTAATTGAAATCTGAAATCATTTGCTAATTAATATAATGTCATGTACATTAATTACATATAAATATATAATTCCAAATAATCTTGACTTTAATTTTTTAGAGAATTGTGCATATCAAAATATTTCATATCTAAAAAGTATTTTTTAAGAAAAATTGATTTTTTAAATAATTAATTAAAATTTCGGAGGCATGAACAAAATTTCCTAGGCCTAAAAAGCTGGTTATTATTGAATGAAAATGGCGTTCCCTCTTCCAACCAATCTAATATAATAATATTTGAAGTTAAAATAAATTAAATAATGTTTTGTACGTACAAGGGGTGATAACCTGTCCTTTTCATTGAGCGAAGCCTTAACCTTAGTTAGAATATTTTGATTTTAACTTTGATTATTTGGAATGCGCATCTAATAAAAATGCTTATTTGGAATCAACTTTAATATTAACTTTGATTGTGTTTATTATTTTAAGAATACTATATGTTATATTGAGGGGCAGAATAAGTCTAAGTTCTATTAGAGAGAAAGTGGCAAATTTATAAAAAATAAAAATATATATAAGGATGCAAAAAATATTTTTTTGCACATAATCATTTTGCACAGATTTGTTTGTTAGTATTAAAAAAAGTTCAACGTAATCAGATAAAAATAGTGGGCAACCAAGAGACATTTCCATTTTTAGAGGGGCTAATTGCATGAAAAAAATGTCGGTTGGGAGCGAAAATAAAATTCAGGAGGAGCAAATTATGAATAACCCTTACTATACAAAAAGGGCAAGAATACTATGTTTTATATTTAGGGGCAGAACCAATTTTAGTTGTAATGGAGAGCAAATGGCAAATTTATAATATATATATATATATATAAGGGTGCAAAAGATATTTATTTTACACATAATAATTTTTCACAGATTTGTTTGTTAGTGTTAGAAAAAGTTCAACATAATCAAATGAAAATAGTGGGAGGGCAATAGACATTTCAATTTTTGGAGGGGAAAATTGCATGAAAAAAATTCGGTTGGGGGCTAAAATAAAATTTAGGAGGGGCAAATTATTTATAATATTTACTATACTAACCCCCCCCCCAGCAGTACATAGTTCCACCATTGACTATATTTAAATATATAATATTTCCTCGGTATTTTTGTTATTAAGCGGGGTGTTTATATGTATGGATGGTAAATATTTCATATAATCGAATATGAATTCTAATGCACAACTTATAATCTCATTAAAGCACGTAGAGGACTAGGTTGTCTCAAATAAAAAAAATTTGAAATAGTTACTCCAAAATTATGAAATTTACAATTAAAATGGCCAACTCTTTGCAATGTTTTCAATAATAATAATAATAATAATAATAAACAGAAAGGAAAAAAACAATTCCATGTCATTTCGTTCCAAAATGAACGAGTCCTTGTTCCAGGGTACAAAATTTTATGGTTTATACATGATTCAAGGTAGAGTACAGATTTAGTCCCAAATAATTATTTTTATACTTTCTGATAGATTGCATGAACTAAAATAAGCATTTAAACAGAACCAACCGCGATCAAAGAAGCAAACCAAGCGAACAAACCATTTTTGTGTGGTTTGGCTTTAAGCCAAGCCTCCATGCCTAGCTGCAATCGTACTGTACAACATGTAAATAAACCACAATAACTACTACACGCCACACAGCGGAGGAAGCCATCTATAAACTCTAATTTTTACTAGGGAATTCATAGTGGCATCGATAAACAACAATCACCTCGATTATGGGCATGAATGCTTCCTCTGAGCTTTTCTTCATAAACAGAATAGCAAAACAAAGAAAACCTTTAGAACAACAAAATATAACATATTTCAGATCAATCTCTCAAAATGATTTTGTAAATGCTTAAAGATTTTAAGCAAGTAAAAAAAAAAATTCAAGGAAGGCTTTTCAAGACTTAGCAAGCTCTTTAGTTTTCTTCAAACCTTTCTTTCTCGATAAAAATTCAGATTCTGGTGGCTTGAACACTATGGTTAAAGAAAATACTTATGATTTTAAATAGCTCTATTATGCGCTATTCCCGTCAATGCAATATATTTTAATAAAATCATATTGATTTTGATTAGGTTGATCAATACATGAACAAGAACAACAAGAATTTATTGCACAACTTGGGATCTGCCACATGAATCCTTTTTAAAACAGGCATTAAATTGCCGGTGGAAAAACTGCTGGTTTTCACCGCCGAAATATATGTAGCCAGCGTGGAATATCGGTGAAAAATATGTCTGACGTGCCTCTCCACCGACGTTCTGCACCGACACCTCCATCAATCAGCCACTATAAGTCGCACTTTTAAGTTTTATTTGTTTATGGTTGTTCTCAGTAGACATTTTATTATTTGCTCTCAATTTTTTTTTCTTTAGCCATGACTCAGAGGGGTTTAGATTTGGGAATTCAAATCTCTCCTAGAGCTCAAAAGATTTATCATCTTATGTATGTCGACGATGTTCTGGTTTTCTCTCAAGCTTCACAAAAGCAAGCTTCTAATTTGAACAGCATTATTTCGGACTTCTGTTCCTGGACAGAACTGAGAGTTAACAACTCTAAATCTCAATTTTTATTCAGCAAATACACGAGCATTGCTAATATTCGGTGGGTAAAGAATATTCTGAAGTTCAAAACTATCAAGGAGTTGCAGTATTCAGGAGTTAAATTGATGATGCGAAGACCAGTTAAATCTGGTTTTCATTTTCTCCTCGAGAAGATTCTACAGAAACTGAATACGTGGGGGAGTAAATGTCACTCTTTAGCTGGTAAGATCACCCTTGCTAAGTCGTCTCTTTTGACTCTTCCAAATTTTGTTTCTACTCATAATTTGGTTCCAAGGAAGGTACTGCATGAAATT